TTGTGCGAGGATCTTGTCCGAAGTAATAGTTGACACGTTTTTCCGGAGTTGTCCGTCCAAAGTCTTCATGACGTGACTCTGATGTAATGTTGATCTTTGCGGAGTATTTTTCTAAGGATGATTCTTGGTTTTTGGCTGCTTGAGAATTTGGTTACGACATTTTCTCGAGAGGGATGATAGTTAAGACTCTAGTGAAGTTCCAGCATACATAGTAGTGGATTAAGGAGGAATAGTAACTTGAAATTTGAATATTCAATAGATCGGGAAGTTGAGATGATTTGTGAATATGAAAGATGAATGGTTTTGGTTTTGTTGCCGTTTTACCTGGCGATATGTACGGAAGGTTCGTAGATCGTATCTCGTACCGAGTAGGGGGGCTGTTTGTGTATGTACTCGGCAGGATACAGATCTCCGAGATATCCGAGGGGGTACGCAGATATGATAGGTTTGGGTATATGCAGACGTGTGTGCAGCAGCAGGTCCTTCTTGCCTGCTGCTCATGCTTGTCACTCGTTAATTGTTAATCAAGGAACTTGAGTCACTCCTTTGTGCAACACGCTCTCGACAAGAGCCCGCGAGCGTGATAACATAGTACACGCGCCGACACCCCAAACAGATGATTCTGAGCACCAAGGCGCACAGTGAACGCACCACTAGTCTTTTGTATGTCTAGACTATTTGTAGAAGTTAAGGCTCGGAGAGTTTTCTTTCCGCGCGCTATGCACATACATATGCGTAAAAATATGAAAAATTCGGAGTATGTGCGTGCCGAACCAACGAACCCACTCCCAACCTTCTGCTCCCAGAAAAAATCTCTCACTTACTTTCATGGTGTCGCCGTTTCGTTATGGAAGGGCGCTCAACGAATGAATGGATGCCATCATCATAGTACTAAACTAAAACACAGTACTAAACTAAAACACAGTAACACAGATGCCAGGACTACCCCGGGAGGTTCATCAGGGCCTTCCGGTGGTACTCCAGGTTGGTCTTACCAAGGACCTTGGTCAGCATGTCGGCGTGCTGCTCTTCCGTCGGGACATACTCTGCGGTGATCTTCCCCGACTTGAAGAGCGGATAAAGTGGTACCGCACGTCGATGTGCTTGCTCCTCGCCGAGCTGAAGGGGTTCTGCACCAGGGCAAGAGATCCTTTGTTGTCTTCAAGGACCTTCATCTTCGCCCCACTCGTCTCAGGCGCTACGAAAGGCAGAACCGCACGCAAATGCAACGCCTCCTTCACTCCCTCCCCGGCTGCTAGATACTCTGCCTCCGAGGATGACTGCGCCGGCACACGCTGGGTCTTTGTGGTTCCGTTCGCCGTGTTACCACCTACGGTTACGGCTAGTCCCGTCGTCAAACGACCGTCAAAAACGTCATCGGCGTTGCTGGCATCGACCCACGCTCCTAGATCTAGTCCTGACCCCCACACAAAGGTGAGGCTCAGGTCCTGCGTGGCGTTGAGGTAAGACATGACCCTCAGAAGCGCCTGCCATATCCTGTCGGTGGGAGAGTGAGCCACCTTCTGGATCTTGTTCAACGGCAGAGCGATGTCCGGCCTCGAATGCACCACCCACATCAGGCACCCGAGTGCCTCCCTCACTGGCTTGTCCACCGTGGGCTCGTCATCTCGTTTCGGCCTTCGAACTCACTGCTGTCCGCCCCTCGGGCAGTTTTCCAATTTTCGTGAAAGTCCCCGCCTTGTCTAGACCACCCTTCTCTTTCATCATCGCCGCTTCCCAAAACACCTTGTACTTGGAATCCATCGCATCTTTGTATGTGAGCGGGGCAGCCTCTACATCGTTAGGCTTCTGCCCGATCGGCGAGGGACTACTTGGCTCTGGGTCAAGGAGTGGTTGCGGAGACCCGTCGTCCTTTTCGTTTGCAATGAATGCCAGCTCCAGCTCCCCTGCATCAGGATGGAGCGCCTTTACTAGATCGTACTATAGTTGCTTCTTCAGCTCCTCACGGTGCGCTTGCTCGTCTTGCATGCGCTCCTCCAACAGCGATTCGCGGATATATTCTGCAACGATCTCCGGACCGTTCTCGGTCTCCAGGACGGTTGATAACAGCGCCTCCTCGGGGGCTGGCGCCTCGCTCGGCTCTTCCTCGGAGCTCCGCAACTCCCGGATCTGCTTCCGGGTGCGGCCGGGCTGGAGCACATAGCGCAGCTGGCCGGCGCTCGACGCTCTCCAAAGAAGTTTCTTCCCTTCCGTTCCTGACGGGTAGCGGCTGTCGGCGGGGTCGTACTTTAACTCCTCGAGCGTCTCAGGGTCGCCGCCTTCATTGCCGTCACCATCGTTCTCACCGGGGTCGCTTGTCTCGCCGCCGCCATCGTCATCGCTGCTGGGGCCGACGGCCTCGCTGCCGTCACCGTCGTCGTTGCTGCCGTCTTGGCTAGATGTGCTGCTGACGGGCTCGCTCCCGCCGCTGCTTTCATCACCAGAGTCGCCGCTGAGTGGCGCGCTGCCGCCTCCGTCGTGGTTGTTGGAGACGTCGCTGGGGCCACTACTGTCGTTGCTGTTGCTGCTGTTGTCGGCGGGGTCATCGCCACCGCCGAATCACCCCCTCCCGAAGAGGGCGACGGGGGACCTCTGCCTTCGTCCCCCTGCATCCCATTTCCGGGTGCCGCAGGCGCCCTCATGCGCACGAGCCGAATCGCTTGCCCCAGCCTACGAGCGTCGTCTACGTCGAGGTCGGACTCAATCCTCGAGTCTTCTTCCCCCCCTCCACCTTGACGTGACGCTCCCTCGTTGCTCTCGCCCTCTCCGCCCTCCTCATCATCTGCGAGAGGCACTGGCTGCAAGGGGCCGGGCGAACCAGCGGGCACTTGGCGCCAGGTGAAATTTCGGGTGACGATTACTGTTCCAGCTCAGGTTAGCATGCGAACGCAATCACGGGAGTGGTTGTGGGCTGGTCCAAGGTACCTTCCTTTCTGTCTCTTGGGTTGCGACTCTGCCTCTCTTCTTGATTTGAAGACGGCTGGTTTGAGGAACGGGTACGTTGACCCGACCGGCGGCGGTGTGCCGTGAAACATCTCGTAGGGGGTATTGTGGCCAGGGTTGCCCATGGTGGCGGTGCAGTTTCTTTGGTGGCACGCGCAAGAGATGGCTTCAGCCCATAACTTGGGGGAATCGGGCGCATCGAGGAAGAATGCCGTAGCTTGGATACGCGCGGCAAGAGCGGCATCAGTGATCACCCCCAACGCTCTCTCAGCTACACCGTTGTACTTGTTCGTGTCAGGAGGGGGTAAACTCTTGCTTAATGCCGTATTTGCGGCAAACATCCGCGAACGCCCCTTGAAACTCGCCACCACCGTCAGTCCGTGCGACGTAAACTTCACACGGAACCCCCGCTGCTCGGTAGCCTGCCAAGAAATGCTTAAATTTCTCGGCTGCGTCAGAATTTCGCTTCAGAAAGAATACGCGCGTCCAATGCGTGTGACTGCGCGCGTGGATGTGCTCGCGCTGACGGGTTTCATCTGTCCCTTGGACATCCAACAGCCGAGGCATGGTAGCAGCGGTCCTCCCGTCAGNTTCGTGTCAGGAGGGGGTAAACTCTTGCTTAATGCCGTATTTGCGGCAAACATCCGCGAACGCCCCTTGAAACTCGCCACCACCGTCAGTCCGTGCGACGTAAACTTCACACGGAACCCCCGCTGCTCGGTAGCCTGCCAAGAAATGCTTAAATTTCTCGGCTGCGTCAGAATTTCGCTTCAGAAAGAATACGCGCGTCCAATGCGTGTGACTGCGCGCGTGGATGTGCTCGCGCTGACGGGTTTCATCTGTCCCTTGGACATCCAACAGCCGAGGCATGGTAGCAGCGGTCCTCCCGTCAGCTGCACTCCCTGCTGCTTCGCTGTGTCTCTGAGCAGTTTCTCGTGGGCGTGCAGGTGGGATTTGTGGTAGTCGTTGATGTCAGTGGGGGTGGCTGCTTTCGCATCACCAGGAACAATGACTGCAGCACAGGCGACGCCTACCGTAGGCTGTGTTTGATAGCCTTCTTGAGTGAGCAGCTTGCCCGTTCGGGGGAAAAACACTTCCCCCCCGCCCCCGGTGTTTGCCATCGGAGTTGGGTTTTCGTCGCTTGGCAACAACGTTGTAAAACAAGCCCCCCCCGCGGTGTTTGCCATCGGGATAGGGTTTTCGTCGCTTGGCAACAACGTTGTAAAACAAGCCCCCCCCGCGGTGTTTGCCATCGGGATAGGGTTTTCGTCGCTTGGCAACAACGTTGTAAAACAAGCCCCCCCCGCGGTGTTTGCCATCGGGATAGGGTTTTCGTCGCTTGGCAACAACGTTGTAAAACAAGCCCCCCCCGCGGTGTTTGCCATCGGGATAGGGTTTTCGTCGCTTGGCAACAACGTTGTAAAACAAGCCAATTCATTTCGTAAACTCGGCAACCAGGTTACCGTTTGTTTTTTTTACCGCTGTTTTTTGTTTGGTGGTAACCATAATGGTGGTCGAGTAGATCATATTGTGCGGGGTGGAGAACCCTCACTCCGCGCAAGGGGGATGATCGCACCACGTCGTGTTAAATTGGTCAAGCACCCTTGAGGCAGATACGCAGTGCTTACAACTGTCTCAGGAAGTGAAGTACCAGAAAATAAATTAAGTCATACGAAGCTGTCATCCGTATGCAAGGAAGTAAGCATAAGATGCCGAACACCCTTAGCAGGATGCAGCGCACCCTTCATGCGACTCGCCGAATACCTCACGGCGCTTCGCGCTTGGTGATTTTTTTCTTTTTTCTCCCATAATCGGATTCTGTCGTCTGCCCCTCTGGCCCCTATCCTCCACTTCTACTAGCTGGACGACCCAACTGGGGTCACATAGGAGGGGGGGGCTGGACCCCCTCCTGCGGTTCCTGCCTGAGGTATTTTTATCGCGAGAAGGGTACAGCAATCCCTTCCCTCGCGACTTACGAAGTCGATTATGGTTTACTAACAACGAGCTTTGCAACGCGTCGCCATCCTAGACCAGGATTTTAGTGAGAAAAAAACTCACTCTGCCGGGACTCGAACCCATGACCTGGCCCTTAGCAGGCTGCGAGGTTACTCACTAGACCACCGGGGTGATGTGAGAGCCTGGTCCGGTGAGAACCCGATATGCTCCGTCCCGGCTTTGTAGGGATGCGAGATCAATGGTCTAACGACGACGGCATGCACGACTATGAGTGCATCCTCCCCTCCCCCCCCCTCCGGCTTTCGTGGTCAACGTGAGGCCCCCTTTCTGCCCCGAGTACTTGTGGCCTTCCTCGGCCAACGTGGTAAGAGAAAGGAGGTTGTAGGGGGCTTCGGGTACATGAGCTGCATTCGGAATGGGTACAGGCACCCAACCACCTTCCGACGTGAGGACTACGACCACGTCTCCGTATCCTAGGAGGGGAACATGGGCTTTGTCACCACCAATTCCCCGCACCCAACCGTTACACTCACGGTAGTTCACGAAGGCATTCGCACATCGGAACATGGAGCACGTGACTGCCGTGTCAGCCACGTACTGCATGACATCCTGGCCAAGTTCCTCAACACCCACTAGACCAAGATCAACGATACCACACTCGCCTGGGGGTTGTGCCACGGTACAGAATGCCTGGTCAGTGGCGGAGTCGTCGTCGCTCACGTAGCTCACGACTTGAGCCAGGACAGCCTCCTCCGTAGCGCATTTGTCTTTCTTGTGACCCCACCCTGCGCATCCCGCAACGCGGAATGAAGTCCCTCTCCTCGGTGGTGCAGTCAGCAATCTGGTGCCCGACGTGACCGCACTGGTAGCACTGGCCAGGGAACCTCGTGCCCCCGCCGCTGCCGCCGCCGCCTGCTCCTCCACTTCCATCTCCCTTGCTCTCCTCGACGCCGCCGCCGCGGCCACCGCTGCCGCCGCCGCGGCCACCGCTGCCGCCGCCGCGGCCACCGCTGCGACCGCCGCGGCCACCGTTGCGGCCGCCTCCACGACCTCGGCCGCCACGACCGCGGCCACGGCTCGACGACTGCCCCTTCCGGCCGCCGCCGTCGGAGATGTTGGCCCTTTCGGCGCCTCGTGCGCCGTTGCGTTTCTTTTGTTTCTCCAGGATCGCTTTGTAATCGATTGCGGTCTCTCTCATCACTTGCTCCTTGGTCAGCTTTTTTGTTCGTCGCAGGGCATGCTTCGTCATAGGGTACTCATCCGAAAGGGCGGACACAAAGCGGTGGAGAACAAATCCTTCTTTGATACCTAGCCCTTCTTGGTTAAGTCGTTCACCAGGTGCTAGCATGTCGCGGAGAACAAGTTGTGGGTTCTTATTCGTGGGGACCGTAAATGTCATGAACGCATCCACATCGTCAACCGGTTGCATTGCTGATTCCGGGTCGTACATTCCATTTAACTCCCGGATGGGCCCCTGGGGCGTATCTGCCCTTTTCATCGTCTTTTTATCGTCCTCTTTGATGAGAGCGTGGTTCAGAAAATTCCACGCGTGAAACGCGAGCTCAGCTTGCTCGGCTGGGTGTTGTTGGCACAATGACGACTTGCTTCGTCCGCTATTCACGGGGATCTCCACTGTCCCCTCCTGAAGGTGGTCCAACAGGTTTGCTCCATTTGCTACCAGGCCGAAATCCTGAAGCCATGATTTGTTTTTTTGTGCTTTCCCGTCAAACGGGGGTGAGGAGTACCTCAAGCTCTGGTATCCTGCACTCCCGACAGGAATACCGAAGCCGCCGGCAAAGCCAGCAGCAGCACCACCTCCTATGGTGCTACTAAAACCACCTGGATTGTGAGCAGCGGCTACTTTCACCTCTTGGGGGACATAGCCCCCTGCTTCGCCGCTGTGTCGTCCTTCCGGACCAGAGTCTCCGAAACGTTCGCGCAGGTACGTGTCGTCCTGCGCGCTCCCAGTCTGCGCTCTCTAGCGTCACCGCGGCCAGCGTCGCTCCCTCTGGCGTCGCTGGGCTCCTCCTCCTTCCGTGTTAGCTCGCCTACCAGTAGCGTCAACTTGCTGATCTGCTCTGCGAGCGAGCCTACATCCGCTTTGAGGCTCGTGAGCTCTGCCGAGCTCTGGTCTCCCTCCGACGGTCCGCCAGGGATATTTTCCCCGGCTACGCGGTCCGCCATTTCCTAATGGACTCCCTAGAGGGATGTAACACTAGTGTATTCGTACGTTTGTATGTCCTTTACTTGGAAGGGGGAGATTTTTTTTTATATTTTTGTATTAAGCACGCGAAAGGGGAGCGGAGGAAGAGTGAGGTCCCGATAAGCTTGAGAGAGCTCGAGAGGTTCCACCGCATAGGTTCCACCGCATAGTAACCGTCATGGTTTACCTATGCTCCTATTTGCGTGTTCCCGTTGTTGTCGGCAGATCTACCAGTCCGTATCCAAACACACGAACACTGGCTACGCCGAACGCAGAAGAGAATCATCAATCATGAATGAAAAAATGAGCGTGCCTTTGTCACTGCTGTATGCACGTACAGTAGTATTGCTGTAGCTCGCCCAAACGTTTTGATTGAACAGTCTCATCCATATCCACCGCACCTCCAATCATCGCTGGTTATATTCCGGGCGGTGCCTTCCCTGATGACTCTTGTGTGGCTGCAAATCTGTTCACCAGCAGCGTGGTATTGTAACCATGTGCGATGTATCCACGACCGATACCGGTGGGATCACGGTGTTTCCCTTCTATCGATGACGTCGTTGCTCTTGACGGGACGGCTGCTATAAAGAAATGGTCTAATCAACTTTCGTTCAAATACTGTAGACTAGTCTACAGAAATACGGAGTATAGACTATTATAGTCTATTATTGATATTTTTTTACATGAACAGACGAGACTAAAGACTATATGTGGACGCCACCACGAAGCGCGTTGAACAGTACGCCACCTTCGGATCGACGTTCACTGTAAGACTTGCTGCCTCGGCTACGCCCGCTGCTGACAAGAGAACACACTACCGAACCTTTTCCGAGCATGCGTGGTGGCAAAGCGGGGTTGTTGAGACACACAAAAGCTGATGTCCGGGGTTTTAATCTCCCCTCGACCAGAAATTTCTTTGCACCCGAATTGATGAGGAAAAATAAGTCTGGTGAAATAAACTTGAAAAAATAGCCGATGTACCTCTTGTACCGATAGCGATATCCGGGCACGACAGCACCGATCACAGGGATGGCAACGCTGGGGGGACGTGTTCGTGGCTGCAAAGCCACAGACCGGAAACAGGCATGAACTTTTGCTGAGACGCACGATGACCACTACGTAGACCACAAGTCAGCGCTGACTAGTGGTGGAGTGGTCATTGTGTTTCTCAACAGGGTTTTCACGCGGCCTGTCGCACCCAGCCATTATCACACGATCCCCTACAGATGCACGCTCAAGAGCAACACCATCCCCCAAGCCCCCCAGGGTATGATGAGTGCTACCACTTACTTGTTGTTGGTTGGTCTCCATGGTGGTCTCCATGGTGATCTCCACGGTGGTCTCCGTATCAGAAACGTATGCACCACATACCTTACCCCTTGCTGTTAAGGAGGACCCGATTCGCAGGGTATCTATCTGTCGATTGACTTTTACCTGAATCGGTACACCTTCGCATATGGCGTTAGCGGCAGGATACTGGTTCGAATCTCCTTGGGTGCACACTTTTGCTCCTGACTTGGATATTTCCCCAAGGACACAATGTGCGTCAGTCCTGAGAACACCTCTTGGAGTCGATCCTACAAAGAACCTTGTAACACTTCCATCGAATTACCCATCCTGGCCACAAGAGGTTCCCAGTTGAGGGTAAATTCCGTGGGTGTTAAGGAGGACCCGATTCGCAGGGCATCTGTCGATTGACTTTTACCTGAATCGGTACACCTTCGCATTGCCCTGACCCCGAGAAGTGCCACGCCAACCTACCGTCTACACGTAACAACGGGAACACATTTCCGGGCAGGAGAAGAAGCACGAGAACTCGGTCTTTCTTCTTGCTGTCCTCAAGAGGTCCCATATTATGAATACGACGGGCGATGACCCCGAGAAAGATTCAACGTTGCTGCATACGAACGTCAAGCGCCCTCCTCCTTCGCGCAAAGAGGGAAGTATTTGGCCTTCATATTCATGCATGGTAGTGCACATATCTCCGAGCAATCTCTCTCCTAACATGGAGCGTGCTGGATACAGAACTCCGCCTTCTCAGCGCCTCTTTCGCCGCATCAGCAGTGCTGCAGTCGCCATCCTTCTATTGTTATTGTTTCTACAGACATGGGATATTTCCGCGCTGACCGTTCGAAGTAACCGGGATAGCTGAACCTTTTTGTATATACACTGCCCTATGCACGCCGCTAGCAACACAACACGATTCATCGCAAACTTCTTCTGCCATCATCAGTCTCTGCGTCTCTGCGGTAGGTACGTTCGTTACATGCACTCGTTCAATATCAGCTTCCCTCTCCCCCGTCTTGTTTCCTTCACCGATTCATATTCGTATGTGCTCATGTAATGGTGTGTCTATGGCTCGTGTTTGATGAGCTCTCTCTTCGCTCTCTGCAACAACTGCACACGCTATCACACGTCATGTGTCTGACCAAGGGCACCGCCGCCGCGTCCTCACTGGTTTCCCTAGATGCACCTGCACACCTACCCCTGCATTCCCATCCACGGAGCCCCCGGGAGACGTGCTCTGACGTGCTCCAGTGTTATTTGGTTTAGGAAATTTTTTTTTTTATGCGCCGCTGGCGCGCAGAACTTATACACAAAACACGCCTCCTCCCGAAGCCTTAATCACTGGGCGTCAGTATCCAACTGGCGAGAGGCCTGACGGAGAGGTGGAAAGCTTATCTAGGAGGGGATAATCCTAGGCAAGAGCACCACGGCTGGGTGGATCAGGTACGTGGCTACTGACATTGCCAAGGTTTTCGGCGTAGCCTGTTCTGCAAGGCTAATGGTGAGGACATCGCCGAAGTGACTAGAAGTGACCTTGAAAAACGCGCCGCAGCTAGACAGTCACGGCAGTCTCGCCGCACATCACGCTGTGCTCATGACACATCATGAACGCGCTCCTTGTCCGCCTCTCTGCGAGAAGAAGAGTTCCGCAGGATAAGCATACATACGTCGACGCTTTATTGTGATAGTCGGCAGTGAAAAATGCGGCTGATATGGCCCAGTGCTTTCCACGGTACCTCATTCCACTCATAATAACTGAAATACCTTTCTTTTGGTGGAGGGAAGGTATCATGTTAACGAGTCTTTACACTACCGTGTAGTGCAACCAACCGGTACATCGAAATCTATGCGCAGGTTTGGCATACGACGCCTTCCTTAGGGATGCTTTGGGGGGTGCGCGGACTCCGGCGGGAGACGGGGCTACGGGGCATGGAGCGCGGAATCAGGACGATGCAGCTGACGGAGGGTGGGAGCCGCCCGCACAAGGGGGGGGGGGGGGAGAGAATCCCCAGGGAGGACTTACGTCAGACGTGGGAGCTCGCGCTGAGGCGGCCCGACAGGCAGGAGCAGTGGGACGGGATGAGGGGGAAACACACGATGAGGAGGGGGCGGAGGTTAGGCTTCCCAGCGAGGAAGATGGGTCGGAGTCAGGGGGTCCGACCCCACCCGCGGGAGCAGTGGGAAACGATGATGAGGAAACACCCGAGGAAGAAGGGGGAGATGTTGGGAATCCCGGCGAGGAGGGTGGATCGGAGTCACAGCGTCGCTTGGGTGAGCGGCTGCGCTTGTGCATTGTTGACGGCGCCGAGATATACATTCTACTTTGTTGATGTTGGCTACCCCTCAGGGGCCACCCAAGCACCCGCATACCACAACACTGTCGTAAGGTTTCTTCTTCATACTTGTACTTTGCATGTTTGAGCAGCTGAATCCCGCCGAATTTACCTGACTGATCATCCTTTCCAAGACAACACAGTAGTATAGTGGGGACGGGAGAGACGTCATCGCCTACTTGGTAAAATGTATTCCCGAAAAATGATACGAGGTACTACCGAGCAACTTCTCCTGGCGCATTGATCGATTTCCTAGATAACTACGACGACGTTTGGGAGGAAGGCTCGCAGGACAGCGAAGGAGACGACGATTCGCTTGACGGTATGGATGATATCGGGATCGACCTCGACGGAGACTTGCTGGTGGACGACGAGCCTTAGTTATGTGCGTTGGTATCCGACCGTCAATATAACGCCGTTAGTTTAACGGCTTGTGCCTTGCGACAATTAAATTTAGCACATATCGTAGGAGAGGCTTTCTGTGTGCCATGCGCAGAAAACACAGCCCGGTTCATCATATGCCTCCCCTCCAACAACAAAAAACGGTATATTGCACCAACAACACTTCGAAAATACAACGGGTAGCCCGCATTTTTTTTGGCGCCTTATGCGTCCCCCCCAGCATTGTCAGGGATACCATGGCATTAGCCCGGGTTTCGTTAGGCGTTTTTTCCGCAAAACAGCTTACGCGAAGATTCCCCTTCCCGACTTTTCGGTGTCTCGGTCCGATATTATTCTCGCAGGTGAATGGTGGAACCCATTGCGTGACCCACGAAGATCTACCGTAACGGAGTGCAGCTGCATTCGGCTGTTGTGTTCTCCTCGTAGAAATGAGAATTGCCACAAGTGGTTTTCGGCCATGTGGGTTTGCTACGCAGCACAATTGCGTGTGTGTGGTACAGTCGAAGTCTACACTTCGGTGTCTGCGTCTTTTTTTTTTTGTGTGTGGTGCCAGGTTCAAAACAGTCCAGTTTTTTTTTTGGGCACACATGGGTTTGTGTAGTCGAAGTCAACACTTTGGTGTGTGTGTCTTTTTTTTTGTTGTGTGTGGTGCCAGGTTCAACACAGTGCACGTCTTTTTTGTTGGGCGCACATGTATGCGTGCGTGTGTCGTACACTCGAGGTCAACACTTTGGTGCATCCTGAGTCATTTTTTTTGTTAGGAGTGGTGCCAGGTTCAAGACATGTGCACGCGGATTTTTTTGGGCGCACTTCTATGCGTGCGTGTGTTCAACACACAGTGCACGTATTTTTTTTTTCTTGGCGCACATGTATGCGTGCGTGTTTCGTACACTCGAGGTCAACACTTTGGTGCATACCGAGTCTTTTTTTTTCTAGGGTGTGGTACCAGGTTCAAGACATGTGCACGCGTTTTTTTTTTGTTGGGGGGGGGGTATACAGCAGCAGTACAGTTTTTTTTGGCAGAGAACTAAAGATGGTACGTTACAATACAACGGCGGGTGGGCTGCGACCTTTTTTTTTTCAACGCTCCATGGGCAAATTTTAACCCGATGTAGCAAACATAGTAGTTCATTTGCGGTGCATTTCCAGAACAATGTCTGCCTTGTGGGCCACGAGTCGCACACGTATAGCGCACACATAGGCATGGCCATCCATCATGTGCATGCAGGTACACAAGGAAAAACAGGGTCAGCTGCTGTGCCATGGTTCTCCAGCCCAAAATTATTTCAAACGTCGGACGTCTTTCCCCCCCCAAAAAACAACAGGGACCACCAACACGTCAGGGCGGACAGGCGGGGCGTCGGTAGTAGCCCCGGGGAAGCAAACATGCAGACTTCCATTCAACTTACCCAGCATACATATACTGCTATGCCAATAATACCATAGTGCTATGCAACTTCACACAAGCACGTCTACTCTAGAGAGCTCCGTCAGGCAACGAGAAGCAAACAGCAGGCCCGCGGCCTCCTACCCCCCCCCGCCCCGTCTCCCATATAAACCATGCCTCAGTAGAGCTACACGCTCTTCCGCGGTACGTAGCGCGCGGGAGCACCACTATCCGGTCAGGCGCGTTTTCCTTTAGCCACCGCCCTCTGGTTTTGGTGGGCTCCAGAAACGTCAACCTCAGCTTGAAGGCCACTCCCATACGACCGACCCGCATCGCCTGTTTCAAAATGGTGGTGGCGTTCTTGTAGGGTGGGCTCGTCACGACCCAGTCCGGACGCCGCGTGTCCTCGACGTACGCCTCGACAAAAGCGTCTGTGGCGGCGTCCAGGTGGGTATCGGCCACCAAGCTAAGGGGAGGGGGGCAAAAAAAAAAACGAGCGCCGGCAAAAATGCATGTGGTGAAGCATTACATTCGCCATTTGATTCGCGGCCAGGTAAACATTGCTACGTGTGTGTTTGAGCATAGCCTATGCATACGAACTTTACGCCAAAATCTCGAAATCAAACACTGAAAAAAACCGCAGTGCTTGGTGACATCGAAGTCGGTCTGAGACACACAACACACATACCACCCATTCAAGTCGTTCGTGGCGACACGGAGACCGTGTGAACTCAGGACCGTCTTCACTGCGTCTTGGGCCGAGCCACAACAATCCAGTACGCTGCCTTGCAGATCCATGTGTTCCAGAAGAGCTCGCACCTGAAAATTGCGAAAGCAAAATCGTTCGTACTTAATATTTCTTCATTTTGTTAGGTGTTACCTGGCAGAGGGAGTATGCTGGCATGCTGGCAGCATAAATATGTTTGTTTCCACCCTCCTCGCGGGCGCTCTACATATCTTTTGCCGTTGACTTGTGGGGGTGGGGTCGACTCCCTCTCTCCTGCCACGAGACTCTTCGACCAACACGGGCAGGACAGACAACGATGCACGACCACAGCATCCTCTTACTTACCATTTTCTTATGTGAGAACCAAAACAAAGGAAAAGGGAACAATGCCACTCGAGAAATAAGGAGTAAGGCGAGGGCTACCGATGCAAGGTTGAGAGATGGGACGTCCACCACTCGGTAGAATACTACACCATCAACAGCACATGGTGACGGTCGCGATCCCAGAAACTCACATACATATCTACGTAGTCACGTGGGAACGTAGAAAGGATAACTTGACCAGAAAAAATAGAACGGGGTGAAAGTTTTCACGGGGGTCAACGTTGTCGCGTCTTCCTACAATTTCAACGTTCTAGAGTTCGCCCAGATCGATGCATATGACAGGACGCATGAGTCACCTACACCGCCGCACTAAAGGTGGTGTTTCTGCGGTGTCATACCTGGGAGCCCGTCGACGGGTACCTGCCCATCGGCGACCGCTGCCCAATCACCATGGTGTGCAAAGCTCCTTTCTCTTCCCTCTGGCGCCTCCCCTTGTACCTTTGGTACAAATTAACCACACAGTCGGCGCGGCGACAGATGCACTCTCCCGCCTTGAGAGGGTCTCCTACAAGGTCGCGCTCATGAGTCCACCCTTCCCCTACCGTTGCAGACCACTCGCCCAGCTCCGCCCAGTATTCGGAGTCCACCACGTGCTGCCAATTGGTCGAGCACCCGTCGCGGCTACCGGGGCGGTCACATGCGAAGCATCGCCGAAGCTCCCCTGCCGCTGCCGGTTCTTTGCCGTGCACCACTTTGCCACACGAGGCGCGGCGCTGCCGGACCATCCTGGAAAAACCGAAAAAACCGTTGAAAATGGCGGTATATAGCTGCTGGCCGAATCGCCGGTATTGGCGTCTACAATTGGTAATCCTCGATGCTGTTTCAGCCTGAGCAAGTACAGACCCTGACCTATACGACGCACCCGCTGAGACCGCAAGATTCTCCTCGTAAGGCAAACCTGGGCCTGGTGCCGCTGCTGCACCGACTGCACCGAGATGCTCCGCGTGTTGAAGCCCTGCTGAGGCCCTCTTGCGAGGTAGCTTCGGTTTGAAGCACAGATAGCTACCGAACGCCCAAAACTTGCACCAGCACCTCAAGTGTGAGTGTGACAACAGTATACCGAGGTTCGATTATGCCTGTTGGCGACGACGAGGCTCCTACGGCTCTGTGAACACGCAGCCTGCTGTGGCATGCAGCCTGCTGCCCAGGGGGCTTTTGAGGGGGGGTCAAAAAGAAAACAGGATACCATCTGCGAGTGCCCGGCGTACCTGTTTAGCCGCCTTGACCAGTGTTACGTCGGGCCTTGTGGACCGATTCGCGTCGTTTCTTCTCCTCTACCCTTCAGCAGTGCACCTTCTAGCGGATCGTCTCTTCTGCGACACCAACCGCGCGGTGGGCGTCTCGTACTGACGGAGCAAGGACCAATAAAAAAAAAAAAAAATTATAAACCAAATAACACTGGCTCGGGAGTGCCGCACCATCAAGCACCACAGCAGCAGCTGCTCTGGCCATCCACCAGTCTATGAATACTCAGAGAAGTCTGATCCTGCTACCAGCTGGGCTTTACGAGACATCTAGCCCAAGAAGTCTCCTGGTGGCTGCTGTGAAGAGATTTTAGGTGGGTTGCACGTTCGGACCATTTGTGTCGCTTGTGTTGCAGAGGGCCGAGGAGCAGCAACTGCTGTATATACCAGCCTGCAGAGGCTCACACCAAACACATATCGCCGCAGCACAAACCCTAACGGGTGCAGTGGGTTTGTGGAAGCCTGCCAAGCTGCCGCTTTTGCAAACGATAACATGTATGCATCGATAGATATGGTCTTACCAAGGCCCGTAAATGGTTGCGATCATGAGCGCAATGCATGCGTTCACAACAAGCGGCGGAATCATGTGTGCAAGGTCTCCCGATGTTCAAACAGAGTTGTAGACGGAGCATGGTGCGGTTCTACGGGACCTTTCTACCTTAGGCGTGACTGCTGTTGGTAATCAGCTGCTTTTCCGAAGCGTCCCATGGTTGCAAGTACACCAGACGGTCCATTGCTGCTACAGCGGTGAGTGGCGGCTCCGATATTCGCGGGTGCCGGAGCCCACAGGACAAAAAATCCCTCGACCCTGGCCCCCCCCTGTGGTCTAGTGGGTGCCCTCGCAGCCCATTACGAGCCAGGTCATGGGTTCGAGTCCCGGCACATTGAGCTGTATTCCCACAATGATTCCTGGTTTTAGTTGGAAGCGATGCGCTGCAAAGCTCGTTGCTAGGAAACTTGATCGACTTCATAAGTCGCGAGGGAAGGGATAAATATACCAATTAAGAGACACCCCCCATTAAGCGACACATTTTTTCAAGTGCACATATCTCCGCGCACAATCCGCGGGGTCTCCTGATTTTTTTTTCGTATTTTCAAGCGTTCCGTTAGCTTTCGTTTGAGCACTTCAGCGTCCCGATCGGGTCACGCTCCCACGAGATACAGCAACACGCCCTCCCACACCCGTGATGCGGATCATTATCATCCCTGTGGCGGGTCTGTTGCTAAGCATTGCGAGCATGGGCCGCGCAAGAGTAGACCCACAACAGGCGCAGAAGGCTTGCGATGCAGTCCGCAGTGGTCAGTTGTCTCTCAGCGCTGCTGCCAAGGCCTACGGGGTGAACAAGGACGCGCTCTCGCGACGTTCGAGCGGTGCTATGGCCATGGATGCGAAGGTTGGCCCCGAGACTGTGCTGAGGAAGGCGGAAGAAGATGCGGTGGAAGATGCGATGATCTACGCTTCTCGACACTTTCTGAGTTTCGGTCGGCAGCAGCTCATAGACGCGGTGCGAGTGCTCTGCCTCGACGGAGGCCCGGTGCCCTGGGACCCAGATAAAGGCCCGGGGCGCAGCTGGCTTGACGGCTTCATGGCGAGGCACCCGGCGTTGTCGGAGCGAACCACTCACATATACGAGGCAAACAGGATTAACGAAAACTGGCTGGATCGATCCCAATTTTTTTTTCTACGTGGACATGAGCTCAAGCAAAGCGTGTACGAAAAAAATCGTCTTGAAACGCTTTATATCTCGCGCAATCACCACATCTTTAAAGTGTCTCTCAACGAGGGCGGGGGTGTTTTCCACCGTATTATCCCGGAACAAGTAGGGGTATTACAGGAGCCATATCTTCCCAGCACTTATGATTTTTTGTTCTGTTTTTTTTGGGAGGTAGCCTGTGATGTTAGCTATCCTACGATACCTCGACATCAATGATATTCGTCCTAATAGTCAAGAACGAGCTGTTTGAGCGGAGGGTGGCTTAAGTGTCTCTTAATTGGTACATTTACTACCCTTCTCGCGATAAAAATATCTCAGGCAGGAACCGCAGGAGGGGGTTCAGCCCCCCCCTCCTATGTGACCCCGGATGGGTCGTCTAGCTACTACTAGTGGGGGCCAAAGGGCAGACGACAGAGTCCAATAATGGGATAAAAAAATATACATATTTAGTCTATATATGAGCCCCCTGAATTACCGGAAGATAAGGCTGATTCTTTCACACCTGGATTCCTTTCCCAAAAAGCTTCAATTTTCGGGACGGGCAGAAAACCGGCTTCTAATACAGCCAGATTCTTCATTTTTTGAGTCGACAAAATCCGGGTTCAGCTTGTTGGGTGTCCTCCACCCGAAAACTTTGGAAGAAATCAGGATGGTGCCCACCCAGATTTCTCATCCCTAAAAGTTCACCGCTGGGTGAACCCAGACGACATAATCATCGAGTGCGACCTGAGTTTTTGGCGTATCGCTCCCATCAAGGGCCCCCAGCAACCCTACGCTGAAGGGCTTGCTATTCTGAACGCTGGCTGTGATGGTCGCTCGGCACGCTTGCGTAAAAAAAACATATCGCATAACACCAAGCATGGAGACGCCGAAACAGGCCAAACCGACACGAGACAACTAATAGAGCCGCTTTTCGTCAAAGAGGGGAGGACAGCGCAACTGATTTCTCGCTCCCTAAGCCGCCGATCGAAGCCAGACCGGTCAGGGCGTGCTCTCTGTTCCTTGCTCTCTGCCGGGGTGGATTTGCTCGGCAGCGTATACTCTCGATCGACGGAGAGAGGCATGCGCGTGGTGCCCGTTGCTTTTTCGAACGGTGATTTTTTCTGGTCTGCTTCACTTGAGAATAGGGTGATGTGTTGCAGGCCTGGAAACAATTTTCAGCAGACAGCTTGTGTACACGCACGATGATTTCGAATGAATGGATCAACGAGCTGCTGAGCAAATCAACTCCGGCAGAGAGCAAGGAACAGAGAGCACGCCCTGACCGGTTTGGCTTCGATCGGTGGCCTAGGGAGCGAGGAATCAGTTACGGTGTTCTCCCCCCTCTGACGAAAAGCGGCTCTTTTAGTTGTCTCGTGGCGGTCTGGCCTGTTTCGGCTTCTCCATGCTTGGTGTTATGTGACGCACGCGTGCCGAGCGACCATCAGCAGGCAGCGTTCAGAATAGCAAGTCCTTCAGCGTAGGGTTGCTGGGAGCCCTTGATGGGAGCGATACGCCAAAAACTCAGGTCGCACTCGATAATAATGTCGTCTGGGTTGATCCACACCCACCCCCCAACCATTCGCCTCATCCGGCTCACTGTAAGAACGGCCGGACTTTTTTCTAGCCGGATTTCTGTCCATCCTGAAAAGTGAGTTTTCCTGGGAAAGGAAATCAGGTGTGTAAGAATCAGTCTAAGGGGGTACCGAACTTACTTACAGCGGATCAATTCTCTGAAAAGACCCTCTTATATCGAAGCCCCCCTCTTGAAAAGTACCCTCTTATACATGGGAGACATGACTGTAAGTAGTTTAGCACATCTGTTCCGGTCTCTTCTCCGCTCGGCGGGGCTTCCTTCACTTCAGATTGGTTGCTCGAGCCTCGTTCTGTGCCACACGCAGCAGGGCTTACATGCATGCTAGGCGGCATGGGTTCTACTGGTGCTTACGCCCTCGAGGCGATTGCTCCGTCACGATGGGCATTGATCAGTTTCCTCTTGTCATGTAGGGCTGGCACCAAACGCCTTCGCTGCCGGAGCCCTTTCGCTAAGTGTGGCCTAGCATTGTTTTTACATGTGTCTCCTGTCTGCGCCCCTTCCTCAGCAGCCAGCCGACCATTCCAAGACCAATGCGTGAAACAGTCGGTACGATGCTGATTATGCTGTCCAAGAGTTCCCTCATCAGTTCTTGGGATGGAACCACGTCATTTTGCATGGGAAAGGGTTGTATGCATGTAAAAAACAATATTTCACCAGCTTGGAAGTCCTGCACCTATCAAGCTACTAGATAGGGCGGGGTAATGAGCCGCTGGGTAGCGACTCAATACCTTGCAGCAGTCTTGTCTGCGATGCTGATGGTGCACGAATCCCGACGCCCAGCAGCGTGAATCGCTTGTGGTGCAGCTATGCGTACACCAGAGGAACAGGCTGCAGGGGTGCGACGGTGACCACGATGGTTGTGTGTGCGGCCCCCTTCGAAATTTGGCACTTTACACGATACATGCGGTTGTCTTTTCCGTTGATGCACATGCACACACCCACGAAGAAACAAAATGTGAAGTCTTCCCGCTGTGCGGACGCAAAGACGCACATCAGGGAGGCACGCATGCGGCATGCACCTGGCGGCGAGCGCATCACACATCACACCGTCGAGGAGCACGACCAGCAGCGTAGACATAGGAATTGTGGCAAGACAGATGGCAAACATTGCGTCAGACTCACAACTTGCCCGCCACATCCGTCGAGTGAAAGCAAGCAGTCTAGAGTAAATGTGCCAATTCAGGACCACCTGAGCCCCCCCCCACTCAGGCAGCTCATTCTCTGGCGTAACGATGATTTATGAAGAGGTTGGGGTATCGGATGGTAGCTTAGAGCACACCCTACTAGCCCAAAGGTGTTTTTTGAGAAAACGTCAAGTGGCGATGAGCAATAGCCCTCGAACTATACCTCATGTTCCAGAAAAATATGCGGGAAAATGACGGTGCCCCTGTTAGGGACCACTTTCGGGTAGTGGCCGATTACGCAGGTTCTAAAGCGTTTTAAGACCTGAACTTTGGCACACGAGCTGGTAATATAATGTAGATTCCATTATAACAAACAAAAAAAAATCGGTCCACACCCGGGGACAAAATGCCTGTATCCCCGGTTTTTCGGCTCCATTACCGGGGGCGGAAAATACCACCTTTCGGGGGACAATGCGCGTTATTTTGCCATGAAACGCTTCAACCGTCGTATTCTGATGCACGAAGCACTCGTGCGCATCCTATTCGAAGTCACAAAAAAAAAATACGACAAACGAGAGCCTACAGACGATGTTATGGCTGTGCAAACATGGGTACTTTTCCCTCTTTTTNTATTTGCCGCCTTACCGGCCCGGCAGCCTGGATCTCGCGGTCTTTCTTCTCCTGCTCAGCCACCCACTCCGGCGCAGAGAAGAGGTTTCCCTCTGGACGGGCCAAGTTCGCCCGCTTGGGCGGGCCCTTGGGACGTTTGTTTTTGTTGGGCNACCTTTCGGGGGACAATGCGCGTTATTTTGCCATGAAACGCTTCAACCGTCGTATTCTGATGCACGAAGCACTCGTGCGCATCCTATTCGAAGTCACAAAAAAAAAATACGACAAACGAGAGCCTACAGACGATGTTATGGCTGTGCAAACATGGGTACTTTTCCCTCTTTTTTGACTTGGACGGCAGCAAAATCCGCCTGAAAGCTGCGAAGAGTTTAAGCAACCATTTTGCACCCATATGAACCCCCCGCCACACGCCGTTTGACAGAAACNAGCGATGGGGACGTCCTCCAGGGGAGGACGGTCGGTTTCCGTCACCTTCCTCTTCGGGCGTAGCAGCCGGCTGAGTGCCTGCTCCCTGTCCACCGGCCACAGGCCCGCCCCNGCACTCGTGCGCATCCTATTCGAAGTCACAAAAAAAAAATACGACAAACGAGAGCCTACAGACGATGTTATGGCTGTGCAAACATGGGTACTTTTCCCTCTTTTTTGACTTGGACGGCAGCAAAATCCGCCTGAAAGCTGCGAAGAGTTTAAGCAACCATTTTGCACCCATGTGAACCCCCCGCCACACGCCATTTGACAGAAACGCGCTGAAGGTTGCAGAAAACACTTTGGAAACGAAAAAAAAAAACACGCCCAGCCCNGAGCTTGGTTGATTTCCGGCGTAAAGCTCGGGCCCCTCGCTAGCCCGATCATGCCGGCCATGTCCCGCTTCCGCGGTAGTGCCCCTCNGGCAACCGTTTTGCACGCATGTGAACCCCCCATCACACGCCGTTTGACAAAAACGCGCTGAAGGGTGCAGAAAACACGTTGGAAACNGAGGACGACTCCGTGCAGTCGTAAAACGCACCCGGCGGGCCGTTGAGATCCGCGACCCACTCTCCGTTGAAGCGTTGCCCTTTGAAGATGATGGTAGGGGCCAACACGGCGCCGGCGGCGTTGATGGTGATGATCTTGCAGTTCTCTCGCGAGGTGAGCGCATCTGGGCGACCACCGGCTGCCCCCGTTCCGCCACGACCCGCTGTCCCTGCGTACCTTGAACGGTGCCACCTGCAATGATTATTTGCGGCGGCAAAGCGGGAGTAGGAGGGAGGGAGAAGCAGTAGGAGATAGAGTACAGGGGACAATAGCGCTTTCACGCACCATCAACGTCCAGCCTAAAATGGGTGAGGGAGCGGGCGGGGAAGAGGACGGCGAACACGGTGGGATGTCCTCACATGCAACATGTACCGGCGCAGCTGCACAGCTGGGGCCATCGCACTAGTCTAGAAAACAGCCTTCTCGTCTTGAGCCTCGAGAAGAAAAAAGTCCACACAGGGGCCACTGCTAGTAGTGTAGCAGCAGCAGCAGCAGCAGCAGCAGAAGCAGCAGCACCGCGACAAGCTTCTCCTTCCCACACATCAAGTTCGTGTGTGTGCTGCGCAAAAATCATGTGTATCAGCATGCGAAGCTGCTCTTGAAGCAACGTGTGTGCATGCTGCCGACATGAAGAAGGATCCCAAATAGTAGCCAGCGTACACGACAGCAATTGCGCGTTCATGCAGCAGTGGTCCTTTGCGGAGACCACGCGCTGCGGGAAAACTCGATTTTAATACAGCAGCCGCAGAAGTCTGCCTATTTTTCACGCCGTGCACAGCAGCTCAAATGTAGAAACAAGCTCACAATCCGTCACACAGCAGCTACTGCCGACACACCACTACCCTGTGCTGCTCACCTGACTCGTCCGTGTTCCAGACATGGTCGGCCGCCGGCTGGTGCTCGTCGAGAAACTAGCCCCAGAAGTCGTAGAAATTGTGCAGACGTTCATCTTCCGCGGAGGTCACCCTCTTGGACTCGTAGATGCGGGCGAGTCGAAGGCTGATGCGCTCGTGCCGTCCGAGGAAGCCCTCAAGCCAGCTCCTCCCCGGGCCATTGTCAGGGGTCCATGGGATCGGTCGACCGTCGTTGCAGAGCTGTCTCACACGCTCCGTGAGGTCTGCGGTGGTGAGCGGAATATAGTTCCGCCCAGCGTACAGCAGAATATCTTCAAGCGCATCCTCCTCCACTGCGGTCATGACAGTCCCGGGACCCACCCGCGCGTCCATGGCACACTCACCGCTCAGCCGCCGCGAGAGCGACGTCTTGTTGACCCCGTAGGCAGCAGCAGTAGCGTTGCGTGACATGCTACCGCTGCGGACCGCTTCACAGGCCTTCGCAGCAGCCTCCGCGCTCACTCTACACCGACCCATGCTTAGCAGCAGGAGGCCAACGAGGGCGAAGATGCGCCGCATCGAGACTGCTGGTGGGCGCGTTGCTGTAGCTCGGGGCTGCGTGCGCAGATCGGCACGCTGAAGTGCTCAAACGAAAGCTAACGGAAAGCTGATCAAATTAACAAAAAACAAGGGGGGGGGCGGCGAATTGTGCGCCTGGTATGCCCGTTTAAAAAAAGTGGTCCTTAATGGGGGGGTGGTCCTTAAAAGGCACATTTACTCAACATATCGTATCATACATCACAGGACATTACTACATACGTACGTAGCACCACTAACAACAAAGCCGTTGATGGTCATGACTTTGATGCGAGCAGTAACAGCATACAGGGCACGGATATTTCGAAAACAGTCAGCAGCGCGGCGCAAGTTATGCAACCTGAACCGATCCCGCGGGGAACCATCCTGATAACGCACAGCAGCAGTAGTAGTAGCCCCTTACGCCTCTTCGGATTCTCTCGATGGCAGGTGCGATCTCTGGACTTGGGAAGGCGTGTGATGTTGTGTGTTCGTTTATGATAATCGGTCTACTGTTGTTTTTGGAGCAGTCGGTTTTGCACCACTCAACATCAACAACACCCGCCAGGTTACACACGGCGCATGAATATATAAACCCACGGCGCACAGGGCGTACAGGCCCGGCTCCTCGTAGTTTTCATCGATAGCTGGTCTCGGATCAGCGTCCTGTGGTTCTCCTTCTGCTGATGTGGTGTTGTCCTGCCGGGGTTTGAACTCTACCGCGTGTTGTGTGTGTGTGCAATCGCCGATAGCTCGGGTATTTCACCTCTCCACAACTCCTGGACATGCGGGAATGCGATCTCCTAAGATATTGGGCCACATATGCCTGTGAAGCACGGCCATCTGCAGCCGAAGCACGACCAAACCGGTGTGACGAAGAGCGCGTAATTTTTCTTCTTGCTCAGAAGGGAACAGTTCGTCAAACGGTGCCCCATCGGTCTCTTTCTGGTCCGAAAGGTGCGATAAATATGCGTCACGGAAATCAAACTTTGGGCCCCTGCAACACGCGGCGATACTCAGGCCGGTATTTGGAGCCTTTTTTTCCCTCCTGGGGATGACGGGAAAAAAGGTCGTTCGCTTCGCTCGCTCCGCGGCTCATTACAAGTAGTAGATATTGTGTTCGTCCGTCCTGTAGCAGGCCCTACACGCGGCAACTTGACTGACCTAGTTAGTTTGCCTAGTTTGATTGTTTAATTAGTCAGAAGAGGGCGCAGCATTTCCCAACCATACAGGCAACCCACGCCTTGCACAGCAGTGTTTTGTACCCGAGGGAAATGGAATGGCGGAGGTGTTACGTCGAACGGTTGCAGTAGACATCACCGGCAACTTTACGGTTGGGAGACATGACGGCGTTTGTTCTGCTGCGTTTCGAAATTTTCTAATCTTCGACCGACCCTCCCTGCAATACTCTACAACAGGATGAAAAATCATGCGTTCGGAACGGCCTTGGTCTCACTTCTGGCAGCTGCGGCAACCAAGGGCGACGTGGCTAGATGCTCCTCGCGCCTTGCTTTCGCCTTCACGGCACCGGCGCCCACACCGCGTTGCTTGAGCGACAGCATTAGCAGCAACCACCTCGGGTGCAGACCTTGCTCGCGATCGCAACCGGCGACGAGGCATGCGGGAAGGCCCCGTGTGGGTACCCGCAGACGAGTAGCAAATTTTGCCGTCCTAGGCTTGGCTGATGGAGCAGCAGGGCATGGGGTAGGTGAGACTTCGCTACCAGACGGCACAAGCCGGGGGCGGCGGCAGAGGCACAGACCGCGACCGAGCGGAGGCGGGAAGCGAGGAGGTTGGTTCAACAGGGCGACCGGTGTAGGCGAGGCAGGACAAGCGGCTCGATGTGCAAGGCTTGGTGCCGTTTCGGTACCGTCGGTTTTCAGCGGGACGGAAGAGGCGGAGGAAAGATGCATCAGGCGACTCGATTTGGCCGTGAGGGAAATCGCGGGAGTACACATGAGAAAACGATAATACCAAGTGTTACTGCTGCTTGCTGTTGTTTTTGTGGTTTTCGCTATCGCCGTCCCCGCTTGTTATTTGAAACCTCGATCTTTGCTACCTCCGTGCTTTTCACAAGTTTTCTGCTAACAGCTCTGTGCCCGCGCATAAAACTCGCAGGTCCGAAGAGTTTTTGCCGATTACTATTCCTGCACTGACGTGCGGGAGACGACAGAATCACTGGGCGTGTTTCTGAAGGAGGCTACTGCTGCTCTGGAGCTAGACTGCTCCACCTCCCGCTCCGGAAGCGTATACCCTGCCCACCTCGCCTCCCGACTGAAGGCCCGGCTGCTGCAGACCGCGGATCGGCTGCACTACCACCTGGACGGGGACAAGCCGATGGTCCTCTACCGTCTTTGGAACAGGTTTGTCCCACATAGCGGTTGACTCGGGCGACGTGGGAGAGCGCGGCGACTGAGGATCACAACCTCGAAAAACAAATCCAGGGTCACACGTTGCTTACTGTTTTTTTTGTTTGGTGCGACACCCGGCCTCTTCTCGTGTCCTGGTACCAGGGTGCGTGGCTGACATTTTTTTTTGCACTGTGCCTTCGTCATATGTTGCATGGTCGGCGCCGCTGTCTGCGTTGCTTCCCGGTCTTCTAACCCTCACATAAACGACCCTTCTCGCGATAAAAATATCTCAGGCAGGAACCGCAGGAGGGGGTCCAACCCCCCCCTCCTATGTGACCCCGGTTGGGTCGTCTAGCTGGTAGAAGTGGAGGATAGGGGCCAGAGGGGCAGACGACAGAGTCCAATAATGGGAGACAAAAAAAACAAACATCCGTTATAAACCCTCGAGAATTCACGCCCTTTTTCGTCCCTACGGCCGACTATCTTGGCCATACAACCATGCTATCCCTGCCTCTGCTTGACGCCAATTATATGCCATCCCATGATATGCCATCCCACCTGACCCGTTACGTCTTCGTTTTCGTCGCGTCGTTCTTCGGTGCGTGGCTTCAGGGGTCGGCCGATCGACGTGTACGACCGAGATCTGCTCCACTGCCCTCGCTGGATAGAGCTTGTGGCTGAGACGAATAGACAGGTGCGTCCCAAGACATGGTTTGATTCGTTTCATCCTCTTTTCGCACGAGTCTCTTTGCTGGGCTGCAGATTGCCTCCCTGCAATTTTCCCAGCTCCTGCTTTGCGCTTCTGCTGTTGATCGCCCATGTCGTGCAGATGGACAATCCTCCGGTGGTGGTGGAGGGGGGAATGGGCACCATCTGCTACCCGAGCGGCGACATTTTCGAGGGACATGTGAGCAGAGGCTGCATACCTGAGTACGCATGAAGCGCCATCTGGAGGATGCTCTTATCAGAAATAACTCGGAACGCCCTTGTACGAAGGCCTTGGGTAGTCTAGCCTCGCACACTGTTGTGTGCAACGTTATCCTTAAACTAGATATCATTGTCGTTACCTTGATATTTTGAACCTCTGCCCCCTATTCCAATCCGATTCAACGGCATACCCACGTGTGGCAGCCTTTACCATTTGTTCCCCAACTCTCCTTCACGATGTGTCTTTTGCCTTCGATGAACACTTTTGAAAACCCAGGTCGATTCTCTTATCCGAACCGCAAAAGCGGGAGAAGTCCCCGCGGCGGCGGCGTCTTACCCTCCGGAGAACGCGAGAGCCTGCGTAGATGCCGAGCTGTCTTCTTCCGCCGACGCTGCCGCGTCCTCTCGGGGATTAGAGGGCAGCAGTAGCGGCGGTGACGGCGGAGGGGCCGTGACCCAAGACGTGCGTACGGTCTCGGGGCTGGTGTCCCTGACGATAGCCTGCTTGGAGGAAGGGATGTCCGACGAGGCGACCATCCTGCAGCGGCACCTCCAAAGCCCTGACTTCGGGCACCCCCTCCTGCGGCTGGCCTCGCCGTCTGCCAACGAACCAGACCATCCACACCTCCCCGACGATCCCGAGGTGCGTAGTGGTGTTCACATATCGTTTTTGTGATCTGGAACGTGGGGTTTCCACACGAAACGCCAATCGAACGTCCGTAGCAGATGCATTCACCGGAACAATCGTTTTTGTGACATTATGAATGTTGAGTCTTTCAAACCTCCTTGTTCCCGAAACCTTAATCCATTAGCGGTGAGAGCGAGGTACGTTCGCTGTTGGCCGGGAATAGGGAGAACGGATCGTCACACTCTCTCGAGACCTGTTTTGTAACCCCCAGCTCCCCCCTTTGCCTCACCATGTCTCGCCGCTCGCACCGCACCGATTTTTGGGGTATTCGCGGCGTCCTAGTTTTACCTAAAATTGTCCGCGAACGTGCATTTGCTGCAGTCTCTGTCCGAGGGAGACGTAGCGCAACTGCCATCGATGTCGCGCTGAAGTCATTGGAAAGCCTTTTGTGCTGGCGTACTCTCTGAACTGAACCGACCTCCAAGCGTACGAGCCCGCCTCTGTCGCTCCCATGGCTGGCTTCGCAGATGAACCCGGAGTTGCTTCGAGCAGAAGAAGAGCTGACCGAGGAGCACTTAGCCCTTGGAGAGAGGGGCGCGAAGGAGCTCATGCACGACAGGCGTCGGGCCCAGCTAGACGTATACCTCATTTGCGCCGCTTATCGACGCAACCTGCCCGAAGTAGATGACGCTGCCAGCAGAGGCGGATGGCATCTCAACGAGGAGGACGGTCGGATTCTGGACGAGGTGATCAAAGAGGCGGCGGCGATGGACTCGCCGTGGTCTTGATGTCATGCACCAGTTTGATGCGGGTTCCTCCCCTTGGTGGAGCTTGATGAGAAAAGGATGAAACAACGGCCTAAACGGTAATGCTATTTGTGACACAGCATCGAGTGCTTCGAAACCGTATCCGCTGTGTCCCTAGGGCTCTCAGTTGTCGCGCAAGCTCTCGTTCGTCCCATCGTGACCGGTGGTTGCCGAGATCTGGGCCTCTGACTTGCTGTATGTACACCATCCCACTCCGCTTGCCCCCTAGGTCGTAAAACTGTACATCGTCTGGTACTGGAAAAATTTGCTGACTTGACTTCAGTATGAAAAGTAACCCCACGGTTTTGGGGACAATTTTTTATGCTGAAGTCAAATCACCCTTTTTGTGGCAAGGAGCTCATATAATTTGAAGGGACTGTAGCCCCTCGACCAATGGCTGGCAAAGACATGTGCGATTGTTTTTGCGGTGGGACTGGGTACTAGGAGGGTTAACAACGTAGGTTGCGTGACATACCACACCCCTTGGACCGATTTTCGGAGCTCGATTACTCCACGAAGAGGATGGCGAAAGCAAACCATACGTGTTCGGAAAGCTCTCAACGAGACGCTTCCAACTCGGCCATTCTCGAAGCCGTCACTGCGTTCCCAGCCGAGTAATTAAGCTTTGAAAATCGGCCCAGGGGGTGTGATATCTTCTGCAACCTGCGGTATGTACGACATCGTAAATACCTTTACGAAAAGATCTCCAATAGGCACGAAACCAAATGAACAGTGTTCCCCCGCCCCCCGGCTGTCGCACATGCCATCACTTGGCCGAAACCAAAGTGTGGTTCCCGAGAGACACCCAAACCATGTGGCCGCAGCACCACCTCGGCGGTGTCGTAAATTTGCCCTTTTTTTGGACACCGCGCGAAACTTTCCGAAATCATCTCCAACGGGCACAACACCAATTTTTCTGTTTTTCCGCGGCCCCCAGCTGTCGCGCAAGTCATCATTCGGGCGAAACTAACATGCCTTTGCCGCTATACATGTAGTCCTATGTACATGTTGCCTTGCTTACGACGACCGAATGAGGGCCCATTGCGGATCGGTTACATTATCCACAGAGTATTCCACACGAGCGCTGCATACAAACGAGTGGGAATCCAGCCCACGTTGGAAAGCATTGTCGTGGGCACCTTGGCCAGCGAACAACACCCAAAGGTCCGTAGGCGTTGTGGCACGGACCCTACCACCAAGACGTAAACATCAACCACGGTGGCGGCGGTAGGAGTGGGGGGCGCAAGCGAGGGTACCCCCTGTTTTGTGCACCAACGTCAGCAATCGCGTTCGGGTCGGAACCTTCTTCGGACGATGCATAGGTTTCGGAGAAGAGAGATTTCGCGGGAGCGGGAGGTGGGATGACAGATGTTACTTTCCTATCCTGTCACAGCTGGTGTAGGATACGATACTTTTCCGAATCCCGCCGGATCTGCTGCGAGTTTCATGGACGGAAAGAGTGATGATAGAGGGCCGTGTCCGTGGAGTTCCAATTTTTCACCGACGTGGTACCATTTTTCCTTGGATTGTCATGTTTGTTTCGCCTATTTTTTTGCATCCATTTCTTTCAGTGTCGTGACACTGAAGTACTGAAAATGCAGATTTTCGCGTTCAGACGCCTATCGGTTCACTCGACGAGGAAGACTCCTCGAAGCAAACAGCGAAATATATGTTGTGACCTCCTGCGAGGTTATGCTCCTGCTTCGATCAAACCAGCGAAATATTGGTGTCGGACTCAGGACCCGGTTTCACTCCGGGACTTCGAGCACAGACAGCCCTCGATATGAATGCCATGGACAAGAATTAAGGACTGAAGTTGTCACCTAGGGTAACATGTTTCGAAGGAGTCAGGACTCTGTGTCACAACGGGACTTCGGGTACAGGTATAGCCCTCGTTAGGGACATCATGGACCGTAGGAATGAAGCTCCAACGTAGGGTTTGGACTTTGAGACAGCATGTTTGGAAGGAGTCGGAACTCGGTTTCACATCGGAACTTGGGACACCGAAAGCCCTGCCAATATATGTCATGGGCAAGAACATGAAGACCGTGTTTCCGAGGAGCTTGAATTCTTCAACGACCCATACCATTCTCTTTTGGTATGTCACAGAATTATTGCACAATTTTCACTCCCAATTCGACGACCGAACGCAGAGTTTAGTTTCAGATGCATATCGGTTCCCTCGACAAGTCTCCTGGTGAAAGAAACATGGGGTACCCTCGCTTGCGCCCCCCACTCCTTCCACCACCGAGGTTTACACTTACGTCTTGGTATTCGGGGCCGTTCCACAACAACACCTGTGGACCTCTAAGTGTTGTGCGCTAGCTAAAGTGCTGACGAAAATGCTTGCCAACGTGACCAGGTTTCCCATCCGTTTTCATGCAGCGATGGGGATCGACTTCTCTGTGGATATTGTAGCCGATCCACCCCGCGCCCTCGTTCGGTCGGCTTAAGAAAGGCATGTAGGACTGCATGAATAACGGCAACCACACATAGGTTTCGGCGGAATCACGACTTGCGCGACAGCCGGTGGCCGCGGGGACACAGAATTAATGGTTATGAGGTCGTTTGAGATGATTTCGGGAAGTTTCGCGCGGTGTCGTAAATAAGGGCTTTACGACACCGCCGAGATGGTGCTGCGGCGACATTCTTTGGCGTATCTCGCCAACCACATTTTGATTTAGGCCAGATGATGGCTTGTGCAACGACCGAGGGCCGTGGAAAAACAACTCAATTGGGTTCGTGCCTATTGGACGTGTTTTCGGAAGGTGTTTACGGTGTCGTACATGAGCCAATTTTACGACGTCGCCGAGGTGGTGCGGTGAAATTAGTTTGCGCCATATCTCGGCAACCACTGGTCACTAGGGGATGAACAGGAGCTTTCGCGACAGCTGAGATCCCTAGGGGCACAGAGGGTGTGGTTTCGAGGAATTTCCTGTGGTGTCGAAAGAAGGATTACGGGTGTATTACGATGAGAAAAAGTGCGTCATTATTCATTATTGAGATGCCAAGATGTACACAATTCCCAGGGATTCATTCGTGTTTCGAAGCCCTTCGCCGTTCTTGTTCTACATACAATGGGTACTGCCTGTTTTGGGTGTTATGGCTTCGCCGATTCGCCTCACCCCCCGCTCTTCTGCAAAATTGAACGAGTTTGGGGTGCGATGTTCCCCCCCTGTTTTCCTATTGATGATGCACAACCTACTGCAGACCCGATCAATATTGCCCCTACACTTGCATGCTCTATCTTCACGAGTATAGCGGCTAGACGCTCTTTCAACCTCTACGTAGAAGTCAGGATCACTCGAAGTCTACACTGCAGTTTGCCCTTTTGCTATTCCGATGGCGTGCGTTGCAGCTTGCCGAGGACGCGAGCGTAGTCACCGATTGTCTGTCGAGTGATTTCACATGGTTCATACGTGTACCTTTATCAATTCATCCTGCAAGGGATACAATCAGGCGGGGATGGATATTGGCGAGGCTTCCGCCGGTCTCGATAACGACCTCTAGCTCGCCGAGGCAGCCCTGACTTCACATGGGCGACTTCATCTTTGACGTCAGGTGTCGGCACAAATCATGGATTCCATGATGGACTTCAGGGTGCATGTCGAGAGAATGAATGTCGAAGAGTGGAAAAGAGTGAACACAGCAGCATCGGCGCGATATTTGGAGCAGCCACATACTTGTTAGGGCCGTTTTAAACGGACCGACTTTTTGTCAAAATTTTCGAAAGTGTCAAAAAATGGAACCTGTATGTAGGCGTTTGTCATTTTTTTCAAAAATATTTGGAACGAAGTTGGGCGCGAAAACTTTGCTCCACTTCGTTCCAACTTTTTGACAACCCTCTCAAAGTATTTGGAGCACTTTCCAAAGTACCCTTGCAGAGGCACGCGAGGGCTGCTGCGTCTGCACCACGAGTGCCCCTCACCGTAGAAAGTCAGCTAGGGTTGTGTGTGAGTCATCTGTCGCTGTCGCTATTGCTATCGTCGCTGTTGCCAACGTTGACGATGCTGTCTGCTGTTGCTGTGTCGTCCGAAAAACGGCGGTCCGCCATGATGGCTTGCAGTTGTTGCTTCGCGTCCGCCGCTTTGTTTTTTCCTTTTCCCGGGGGGGTAGGAGCAGTGGTTGCCACCCCTCGCCGGCGGCCTGCTCCACCCTCGCTCTGAGTGTTGGTGGCGGCAGCGCCTCCCGTGGTAACATGAGTGTTCCCCGAGATGCCAGGCAGCAGCACTATCTTGCTGGAGAGCAAGCCTCCACCGCCTACGGCGGCACCGAGAGAGCCCGTCTGCTGGAATTTCGCCGGGGTTTTGGTCTGCCGGCCACGCTGGGTGGTCGTGATATCCATGTCGGTGTCCATGATGTCGTGTTTTCCGCGGTTTGTGTTGTGTCGTGTGTGTTGTCTCGAAGTGAGCGCTACAACTCACGGACGGCGTCATTTTTTTTGACACAAGTTGCACAAGTCCACGTCACACGTTTAAAATGACTGCACACAGGTTCCAAGTTTTTGAAAGACAAATGTCGAAAATTTTGACAAAAAAGTCGGTCCGTTTAAAACGGCCGTTATCAGCCCCAGCCTTGCTTCTTGGGTTGCTATTCTACGGTAGATGACCCTTCACAGGTTCGTTCTTGCAATGTGCGCTTGTGGTCAACAACTTAAATAGTTTTATAATTTCTGACTGCACAAACAACAAGACCGACAAATACGTTCACCACTCTCGAAGAAGTATTACATGGGTCCCACGTGTGTCAGGAATTTTGACACGAGCACGAAATTTTGACACGAGACCTCAGAATTTTGACACGAGAGGTTACGCCGCATTTTTTCATGTCAGAATTACAGGTCAAAATACATCAAAGCGCTAGCACCAAAAAACATGCTGCGCATGATTAGGTATGTAGGGCAGGTGGGTATCACAGAGGATGTGCATTTAGCGTTCCAGGCACTACGCAAAGCATACCTCGCGACTTTCCCCCCTCCGCTGNAAACAGTCTCACCCGATAAATAAGTGGCGTAGGCCGCAAACACTCTAGAC